ATCAACTTTTCGTTGACTGTAACTTTGTGCAGTACGTGACGGAACCCACCCATGGTCCAAACATACTCGACATAATCCTTTCGGCTACACCAATTATCTCAAATGTGAAAGTTGTACCTCCATTCTCCTCTTCCGATCATAATATGGTCTGCTTTGAAGTTCATGCGTACACAACTGGTGTGGATCAGAGACAGCTTCTCCCTCTACCAAACTTTAATAGCGTGGACTACCTTACTTTGAATTCGTATCTTGAATGTATTGATTGGTTCGAGGTGTTGAACAATTTCACCAACGCAAGTGATGCCTACAGAAAGTTTTGTAATCAACTATATGCTGCATTTTCTAAGTTTGTCCCCTTCAGCGTTCCTCGAACTTATCAATCGAAGTATCCTATTCATATTAAGAATCTTATGTCCCAGAAAGAGAGACTGTTCCGTTCCCTACCTCTACCCATCAGTGACAGCCGATACAAAAAAGGTTGCTCAGATCTTGATCAACACATCGAGAAATGGGCAAGCTACCGTGAAAGGCATCTTTTATCAAAATTGAATATCAAACAACTGTTCCGTTACATTAGGCAGAAAACTAAAACTAGTCCTGGTCTACCGGCTCTATCCGATGAAAATGGCACTGCCTTTGCATCGGACTCACAAAAAGCTTTGGGTTTAGCCCAATATTTCGCCAGTGTTTTCTCCATTAGTTTTTCAGCTGGAGATTTTGTGGAAATGAAAGGAATGCCTCACATAGGTAAAGCATTGTCTAGTGTTTTCTTTCACCCTAACGATGTCCGTAAGGCGCTGGAAGGCTTGGAACCATCTCTTTCAGAAACGTATGATGGAATCCCCCAGATTGTGTATAAGAAATGTGCCTCCTCATTATGTAAGCCGTTAACACATATCTTTAACATTTCTATGCTCTTGGGAGAGGTTCCGAACATTTGGAAAGAAGCTTTGGTCACAGCTATCCCTAAAGTCTCGAATAGTAGGCTTATTTCCGATTTCCGTCCCGTAAGCATAACGCCTGCACCAGCTAAGCTAATGGAGAAGATCATTAGGGACAAAATGATAGCTTGGATAGATAGATTTCGAGTGATGCCAAAAGAGCAACATGGGTTCTTGAGCGGGTCCTCCACGCTATCTAACCTGGTGGACAGCTTGCATGATTGGACTTATGCTCTGAATGGTGGTTAATCTGTTGATATTGTTCTCGTAGACTTATCTAAGGCTTTTGATAAAGTCTGCCATCGGAAGCTACTGGCCAAACTTCAATACCTTGGCATTACTGGACAACTCCTTGAGTGGCTGAAGTCGTATTTGTACGATAGACATATGACGGTGAAGGTAGGAAGCACCTTCTCTAATAGACATCATTGCAGTAGTGGTGTCCCTCAAGGAAGCGTGCTGTCGCCACTATTATTTCTGATTTATACCATGGACTTACCTGCCTTCGTTAAATCATCACCTGAGGTCAAAGTACAGATGTATGCGGATGACATAAAGCTGTACGCCTCATATGATGCAACCAATAAAATGCAAGTACAAAACGCACTTCAGCTTTCTCTTATGAGACTGGTGGAATGGGCTTCAGCATGGGGACTTGCACTAAATATAAATAAGTGCACAGTTCTCCATCTTGGAGGTACATTCCGATCCGAGTATGAAATAAACGGCACTATATTAACTAGTTGCTCAAGTGTGAAGGATTTAGGGATAATAATTCAGTCCGACCTGAAATTTACACAACAGATCGAAAGGGTGACAAAGAAAGCTTTTCCAGCGCTTTTTATGATTTTCCGTAATACCCAGATTAAAGAACCCAACTTACTCCTACGCCTATATAATGCCTATGTATTGCCACATATGAACTACTGCTCTCAGCTTTGGAATCCCATTCTTAAGAAAGAGGTAACCAAACTGGAGAAAGTGCAACGTACTTTTACCAGACTGGTTTACCTAAGAAACCATCCAGGAACTACTTCAAGTAACATTCCAAGTTATGAAGAACGAATGAGATGGCTAGGGCTGACAAGTTTGAGCAAGGTGAGGTTAGTGAATGATCTCACTCTGGGATTCCGAATACTCAGACATGAAACTAGATTGAAACCGAGCAATTATTGGGTTTTCAAACCCTGCAGTGCAATGTCTGGTAGGTTTGGAATGTATCATCGAAGAATTCACAAGAAATTCTATTCGTTAACTTTCCACTCCTGCTTTTATCGCACGGCAAGGAATTTCGAGAAACTTCCACCCGAATTATTCGGATCAATGAATGGTAAGGTGTTCAAAAAGAACTTACTAAGGCATAATTTCATCGATGCTATCAGCTTTGAAATCTGATATAGATATCAGTTTAGATATCGCAGCAGTGGACTCTCATACTTCCTGCCTGACCACTCCAACAACACTGTGTCCTGACACTACCAGTAAACTTATAAATTCGTAGTCCGGATATAAGGCTTCATAATAGTTATCAATGTTTCATCTCATAAGTGTCAACTTCACTTTTTTTTCTTTTCTTCATTTTGGCTTTCTTTCAAGTGTTATCTTTCTTGTCAAGGATTCAGACAGCTGTTGAGTTTTTTACCTTCATGTCTTAAAGGATGACCTTCCTCCTCGAAAGTTAAATGGTCGACATTCGGCTATTACCTGGCTTACCTGCTCCACGAGGTTGTCGGTATACTCGTGTGCCGAAGTCCAGGCAAGTCCCTCGTATTGAGGCACCATTGCCGACTGGTGCAGGTAGTTGAGCTGGATGCCAACCGACCGCTATAGGTGGAGGGGTCTCCTGCTATGTTCTGATTGTCAGCGACGGTATGTCTGACTGTCAACTACAATTTTCAGCTGCCTTTATTTCTTGATAGATACTAAGCACTTTTAATTTATTTGTTTGAACTGTTACCGCTTTTTCTGTACTAGTTAAGGCGCGTGAAGTGTCACGCATGAATAAATAAATAAATAAATAAGGTGTGAATAAGTGCAGACGTCAACAACTTTACTTTTAGCAAAATCTGCTACCGCAACAAACTTCTTGCTCTATCTGTGGATATTGCAGCTTCGCAGTCAAATAGTGTTGAATAAAGTGAAATATGCTCTAGTTGAACATATCAAAATTTCACTCGATTTGGTCTATTAAGAAAAAAGTTATGAACGCAAAAGTTCACCGAAGACTTTTGAGCGCTACTGTATGTTCAAGTATCGCCTTTGAGCAGCCTACTCTTTTTCAAAATTGAATCCCTTGGCTTTTCTTGGCATACAACAACAGCGACCCTTCCCAAATTTTGCCGTTTTTTACGACCCAATGTAAAAGTAGCCCGAAACGATAGAAGTGCGCAGGTGAAAAAGGAGAGACACTACATTGACCTTTATAAAACTTTTTATCTCTTCACTATTTTTGCCTCGACAGCAGAAGAAGTTTCTTCAGTAATTCTCTTTCGTTTCGTAGAGGTCCCCGTATTAGGAATTTTTCTCGCAGAAAAAAAATATGCATGGAGAAGAAAGTTGATGTTTTCATTGCTCTCATGTTCTCTTGCTGCATTGCTGCTTCCACTCAGAATTATTGAATCATGAACTCTAAGAGGCGTGGTGAAAAAGTGTGCACAGAAGTATATAGCCGCCCTGAAACTTTTCAAAGTAAGGAGGCTGTTCAACATTGCGACACGCTAAAACTGATAAGCTTAACATGTGGTGTAGTCTGTGTAGGGTGGACCGAGGGCCCACATACGTTTTTAAATCCAAGCCTGAACTCCGTTTGCTGAAGAATCTAATTTTGAACCACTTGATTGAATGTTAATCGTTTGAAAAGTACGAGTTCATTTTCGCATCTGTTTCACTAAGTCCTGGAGTCTCGGAGCCTATTTGAAGTCATTCATAATCCAGATCAATCGAATTTCGGAAATATATGCACCAAAGAAATTAACATCGTTCTCCCATTCTTCAAGCAGATCACTTTTGCCTTTTGCCCAGAAGTCATGAAGCTGTGAATCAATGATATATTGACTGCCGTTCCCATGTCCATCACGTTAAGTTACGCACTTTTTTACACAAAAGGACGTTTCAGAAGGCTGAGCTTATAGTAATGGAAAGGTATGTACAACGTCTCTGGTGTACGGCTGAAGAACAACCTGGAACCAAACGAATTAGGTGAAATTCAGCAGGTGTCTACAGCAAAGTTTGACGTGCGCTGTCCTTCTGCAGGGGCTCAATATTGGTGAAGAATACGAAGGATTTTGCCGTTCGACGAAAAAAGGTTATCTAAAGATGGGAGATAGAGGATGGACGAGGTTCCCATGACGGATTTAACATGAAAAGGCTTTTGGACGAGATTTCAGTTGTTGCAATTGCGCAAAGAGCTGACTACATCGAGCCAGAACTGTACAGAACTGCTTTTTACTGCCGCTGTGAGGCATGACATGTTGTTTGGACTTCCTACATGGGTTCCCTTGTGATCGGTGCAGCCTCTACAAAGAGGGTGAAACTCGTCCGAGGATACACACGGTGCGACCTTTAAGCCTTCATAACGCCCTGAATGGGCCGTTTTCGACTTAAAGGCACCGTTCACGACAATTTTGGGTAATCCAGATGATGATGAAAAATGGAAAACAAGATCGAAACTAGTGCGACTGAGGTGAAGAAACTGCGTGCATCGGTGTTTCCAGAGTGAAAAGAGGCTTCGAAAAAACGTTAA